CCCATAGTATCTCTACCAATTTGCATTCCCACCAATAGTGCACAAAGGTTCCATATCTTCACCAGCATTTGATATCTCTTGTCTTTTTTATAATAGCCATTCTAACAAGGATGAGATAATATTTCATTGTGGTTTTGATTTGCATTTCCTTGATAGATAGTGATGCTGAGAACCTTTTCATGTACTTGTCAGCCATTTGTATGTCTTCTTTGGAAAAATGCCTATTCAAGTCCTCTGCCAATTTTTTAATCAGGTTGTTTGGTGTGTGTTTTTTATTGTTGTTTTATTTTGTTTTGTTTCTGTTATAAAGTTGTATGAGTTACTTACATATTTTGGATATAACCCCTTATCAGATATATAGTTTACAAATATTTTCTCCCAAACTCAAGAGTTGAGTGTTATTGCTAGTTGTTATAACAGAACGTTAAATAGGGAAGTTACATGATCAAAGCAGTGATTCTATAAAGATTTGTCTGGTGGTGTTTTCTAATACTGATTTGCAGGGGAGAAGGCAAAGGGTTGGAGCCATTTTCACTCCAGCTGCAATGAAAGATTTTGACTTGGATGGGGTAGTGAGAATGGCAAAGGTATAAAAGAGCTTTTGTAAAACATCAACTAGTGTCTTGAAATGGTAGTTGATAGAAAAGGAAGAATCAAGGATGTTTTTAGTGTGTGGGTGTGTTGTAATATAATACAATCATTAACAAAAATAAAGAAGTTAAGAAAGGAAGTTGGATTGAGTTTGAGTAAAATGATAAGTAAATGTGGTTTGGAACTTAATGTAACTGGGTTGAAATCATGTCACCTAGTTGGAAAACACCAACCAATTCTTGAAAATAAAGAATTAGAATTCAGATTAAAGGATAGAACTAAAATAAACTTGTGATAAATAACAGAGAATGCAGCCTGAAAGTGAGGGATGGAAAAAATATTCCATACAAATGGAAATAAACAAACAAAAAGGCTGGGGTAGCAATATTTATATCTGACAAAATAGACTTCCAAACAAAGGCCATAACAAGAGAGAAAAGAAGATCACTACATAATACTAAAGGAATGAATTCTACATAACCCTAGTAAACATATATGCACCCAATATAGGAGCACCTAAATATATATATATATATATATATATATATATATATATATATATAT